TTGGCGAAGTAATATTTCACATGCTGCCTTGATTTTAGATCACTGTGCTCCTTTTACATACACATATACATACGTATACTATCCGAGTTAGTTTCAAAGCGGCTTTTATGGGGCTTAAGTTAAAGGTAAGCCAGGCAGGCAGACAAGCAGGCAGACAGGCTGGCTGGCAGGCAGGCAGACAGTCAAGCATACGCTAAATTGTAGCTGCACATTGGGGCAAATTCTGCACCCACCCACGCCTTTTGCCTCGTTCCTGTTCGACTGTGACTGCCTTGACACATGCGTCATTATTCAAGCGCATGGGAAGCGTGACGTACTTCGCATTTATCATACGGCATACAGATAACGCGTTAGCTGCTGTGCTGGGCTGGTTAGACGCGGCGTATGCGCAATAAAACAAATTAATACAAATATTAATCATGCGCCCCGTAAGCTGCAGAGTTCACATCAAAGGAAGACAGACAGATAGGCACAAGCAATGCCTAACTATGCGGCTTATGGTTGCAAAAATTGTACCAAGTGCTGGAAAATTGTGTTATAACAGTAGTTTTTCTTTTTACAGTAGTAGTTGTTGTTGTTGTTGCCGCCGGCGGTCATAAAAATTCAAGTCTAACTTGTTGCGCGCGTGCCATGAATATTTTGGGGTTCTCGACAAGGAGAAAATTACTGAGAGAGAGAGAATGGGGTTGGGGTTTCAGTTCGGGCTGCCATATGTCCACTCATGCGTCGTGAGCGTGGGCGTTCTGCTGAGCGAGAGCGGGTGAGAGAGCCGCTGTGGGGCCTTTGAGTGAAAGTAAGTTTTGAGTGAGTGGGCGGCTAGCTGCTCAGGTGGCCAGGATGAGAGCCGCTGAGACACGGTGGCGCCCAAACCAAGCCTCCTGCTTTGTGTGCGTAATTTTCAACGTGTCCGTATGCTTTCATGTCCTTGCAGATGATTTACTAACTTGTTCATTAAGTTGGTAGCGCATATAACCAATATTACGTTTTGTTCGGATAGAATGGGCATTACTTCATTTATTAATGCTTGTAAACGGATGAAATGCCTTAATGCGCGCCATTGACATTTTTATGCTTATAATATATAAGCGAGCATAAATATTATTATACTTGTGAAAGAATGCATATTCTGCCTGCCTGTTATTCCTTTATAGATTACTAAAGCAGCTGATTGGAATCAAACTGCAATCCTTTCCTTGCAGTTTTAGGATGAATTGGGTGAGTTTTTTGCCTGAAGCCTGGCCCACGATTTGGGAAATAAGTAAGTCTCTGCTCGTTCTTTTCCTAGCGTATTTGCCATGCCCTTACTCTCAATATTTCCGACATAAGAAACTCGGCTGATGCGCATTTTCTGGGTGTTTAGATTTTTCTCCGCTCGTGAGCATATTTTTTTGGGCAGATAATGGTAGGCTGTCAAGATTTTATCCCCACGAACGCCATATATATGAATACGCTCTTATAAGTTAGCAGCATCTTCAGCTGCCTTCCATATGGTGATAATTCTGCCTGAAAGATACTGCTCAGCAGCCAAACAACTTATTTTAAATATAATTATTATTACATTCTGCATCATCGTGTAATTTTATAAAAACTGTAACTTAAAGAAAAAAGTTATACATAATTTTACATAGCGGTTAGCCCAGTAAGGCGTTTAGTGTTTTTTTTTAATAATTAACTTTTATTCTTTAGTGTGGCTTTCGAGGCACCAGCAAAGTAACTAAATTAGTTGACAGTCAAGTTGGTTGCATTTTTTAGTGGAGCTAATTAAATTTGCTTTCCACTCGCCTACTGCTGTTGCCAGAGTTGTTGTTGTAGAGCTGTAGGTTTACCGCGGTGTGTGGGTCCTGCGCTCAGTTTTATGCCCGCCGTTTAATTGCATTTTTCAAGTTGGGGAGCATAAAAAATGGGAGAGCGCGCTATAAAGCGAAGCGCAGCTTATTGAAATCACCAACGCGTTTGAAGGCAAGACACGCGCTCAGATACATCCACACACATATATATATATATACAAAAATGTGCAGTTATAGAGAACTATATATATATATATGGCTTTCAGATCAGCACCGCTTATTAAACCCTAATAATTGTGCAAATATTTAACAGCCACCGCATATACTTATATATTTAATTTTCCAAATCACTTCAGTTATGATAAATAATTGTGAAAACATGCAAATACTTTAAATTTTAAAACTTCACATTATGCGCATTATTTTATTACGGATTTAGTTTTATTATTTTTTGCTGCCATTTAATTTTCATTTATTATTTTTGTAGCTGGAATTTAATTTTATGCAAATTTATTTCGCTCGTCGTCACAGTTCAGAATAACAATAATGTATGCCACTAAATGCTTAACTGCATGCAAATACTTACACTGTAAACTAAATTAGAACTGAAATGAAGATGTTTACATAATATGGAATATAAGTTCTTTGAATTCAGCTTTAAAATGGTGTTCCAAATTTGCTTGCTGGCTTCAAAATATATTGCGCTGACGATTTCCCAATGATGAGATGAATGCATTTCCCAATCGTTCCAAAATGCTCGTAACTTGTGCATTTTTCAAAGGCTTCTTTTCATAAGCTTTTTTACAATTTTCTTAATTTTTTTTTAATGGGTGACTATTAGTATAAACAATGCTTTGTTTCCATGTTATAAAATGCCTTAGCATATGTTTTAATTTAAAGATTGTTTATTCACAATTTTGCACTTGTTTTAAAATAAATGATCTTCAATCGCTATTATTCCCTTTTAAGGACTCAAGTACGTTTTCGATTATCGGGAAGAGTTAGTTAGCTAAAGAGTTAGTTAGTTAAAGAGTTAGTTAGTTATATTGCTATATTGCTGCAAGGTGTCTTAAACATTTTTTTATTTTTCTCACTTGCTTCAATTTGTTTTCAAACCGTCTGAGGTAGGTTTTCTATTTAGAAGTTGTGTTTAGGGAAATAAGCTTAATGACATACTTATTTTAAAATTCACTCTAAAATTCCAATGGTTCAGGTGTGCGTTTAGAATACAATTATAAGGAGATGCAAAGAAAGCGATCTTATAGTGGTCTCTTTTTTCTAGCAGTGTATATGCATAGTTATTTGTTATTGGTTATCTAACATTTTGCGGGCAGCAGCACGGACGTTACGCATACGCCGCATTGACAGTTTGTTGGGCGGACTTACACATGCACATAAAATAAAAAACACTCAAAATATTTATGAAATACAATTTACGCATGCATATTACATGGACTTGACTGCACTTGTTGTGTGTGTGTAGGTGTTTAATTTTTCCACAGCAATATTATGCATTTGACATTTGGGGTTTGGATTATTTGTTACACCTGCAACTGATGTTTTAAATTTGAAATTTGTTGAGAAATTGTGTTTTGTTTTAATTTAACTCAATTAAAGCCAATGAATTTTAATAAATGACAAATTTAAGGCAAGAATTTATTTACGTTTATGATTGAAATTATTTTTAAATAAAATGTTGTCGTAGTGATTAAATTTTATTGGAGAATGGCTTTGTGGTTTTGATTTACTTTGAAAATTCACACTTTGTAGACAAATAAATGCAATTCATGTATTAAATTTCATTAAAAGGTCCTTTATTAGTGCCGTAAATAAACATCGACACATCGATGTAATATTCAGTAGCAGATAAAAAGATACTCCCTAGGCGGTTTCATTTCTTTTGATGCTGGTGGTTATGGGACTTTTCATTGATTGATTAAATATTTACCACTTTGTCACTTATTTTGCCAAATTTCTGCTGCATTTAAATCGAGGGTTTCCTCACAATAGTCTGTGACATCGTCTTCCCCTTCTCTCCGCTTGTCCGATCCCTATCTCTATGGAAGCCGAATTGTTTGTGTGTGACGGCTGTGTGTCCAGACGTGCATTTATGATTTGCTTTTAATTAAAATGAATATTTTATCGCTTTCAATAAACAATTTTCGACAAATACTACAAAGTTTTGACTTTCACGGGCAAACTTGCTAAGCGCAAACGAAACAGAATCAAATCAAAACAAACCAAAAGCAAAAGCAAAACATCAGCGAAATTAAAAATGAAATTGCCCACACAAGACCAAATAAAAACAGAGACGAAAAGGAAAATACTCGCACAAGAAAGTTGCGAAAACTCTTTTTCGTCTGCTCTGCCCAAGTAATGTACTCATCTGTTTTTCTTGCTTTCTTTCCTTTTACTTGCAGCGCCGAAATCAAACAAGTGTAAATAAGTTGTGCAAAGGTTTGCCTCAATGCCGCTGATTTATACAGCAAATTAAGAGCAACAACAGCCGGCAGCGGAGAGCCATTAACTTGGCAAGTAAGCCAAAAGCAAGAAAAGCGAGAAAAGCGAGAAAGCTGTCGGTCGGTCGGTCGGTCCGTCGGATCGGATCGATAAGAGCGCGGAAAACGGAAGTGCGTGCACAGCGTGTTTACTAATTTATTTATGAGATAATTTCTAAATTAAGTGCTGAGGAGGAGGCAGACGGCCGAACCAACTTCAAGGCAAATAGGAAATTGGCAGGACGGCTGGCTGGCTGGCTGGCAGCCTGGCAGCCTGGCGTCTGTCAAAGGCGTCGCCCACGCGCAACAAGCAAAACAGACGGCAACATATGCATTTTAACCAGCTCGGAGTTGGCCAACATGTTAGTCGAAGTCGATAACGGCAACGCCAACGCCAACGCTGCCAATGCCACTGTTGTTGGCGGCAACAACTTGCTCACTACTCTGTCAGCATCCTCGCCGATGTCGCTCTGCGCGTATATAAATAAATACAACTACTCGTATATAAATTTTCAATTGACAATTAACTTAAACGACAGCGGCGAGTAACGACGAGCTGCGTATTTCAGCAACAACTACTAGTATATAGTATAGATATACGGGCAGGAGTGACTCACTGCCACGCAACAGCTGGCAATTGGCGTCAAGCGAATAGACGCGGACAGGCGGTTCTGGGCTAGGGTCGCCCACACAAGGGGTGATTGCGATAATTAGAATGGCAGCAGCCACTGTAACCACACACTTGGTGCCCGGCACGGGCACGACGCCCAAGGCCGGCAAGGAGGCGTCCGAGGTGTGCGATGAATGTGATTATTATGGTAGCAGTGCAGCGATTTTGATCGATAACAGCACCCAAACTGAGAGTGATGAGAAGGAAGTAAAGGAGCAGGAACTGGAGCAGCAGCAGGAGCAGGATGAGCAAAAGACTACACAAATCCCAGAGTTGCAGGATCTGCCAGAAGAAGCCACAGAGAATTGTATACGAAACGATAAGGATAACGATAAATCTAGCGATAACGATAACAATAATCCAGCTGAACAAGAACAAGACTTACAACTAGATGCAGAAGAGCAGGAAGAGGAAGTACAGGAGCTGAAGCAAACCGACCAAGACAGCGATAGCGATAGTCTGGACGATGTGGCCAGACTGACTGGCCTGGCACTCGAAATGGGCTATGCGCGAATTATCGACTACGATAACTTGCGCATCATCGAGCATGTTATCGAGAGCGATGAGGACGAGGAAGCTGGCGATGCCGATGCCGATGCCGCTGCCTCTGCTGCCACAACAGGTGGCGGCACCACACAGGAGGAGGAACTGCAGCAGGCCTGTCACGACTTGGTGGCGTTTATTGGCGAAAGCTATCAGCTCATCGATAGATCGCCAGCCAGCGCTCATATGCCCGCACACAGCTCGGCTAGCCAGGCGGTGGACAACAACAACAACAATCGTAACAATGGACGCAATGAAACGGTTTCGTATGCCACACGTAACAAGCCAGCAAAGAAAGTACAAATTGCCATCAATAAAGTCGAGCAACTAAATCAAAGGGCAACGAGTAGTACGACAGCAACGGCAGCAACAACCAGTGCACTGATCAGAGCCTATAAATCGAAACTGACACCATTGGCGCCACCGTTTCAGCCCGCAGCGCTGAAGGCCAAGCAGCAGCAACAGCAGCAGCAGCTGCTGCAGAACCAGCAGGCCAACAGCAGCAACAATAGCAACATGGCCGTCGTGCCAACAGCAGCCCCAAGCAGCAATCATGGCGCAATGTATGCCACCTACGAGCAAACCACAGTCTACTATCATCAACAAATGTTGCAGCCACCCACAGCAGCCCAGCAACATCAACATCAACAGCAACAGCAGCAGCAGCAGCAACAGTTGTCACCCACGCCGCACAAGCAGCATTGTGCGCAGCATGGCGGCATGCCACACATACACTTACAAGCCGCAGGCGCTGGCGCCGCCCAATTGGTGCCCGTGCAACTAATCACCTTGACGCCGCCATCCACGGCAACTGCAGCTGCGGCAGCAAGTGCGCCTCAAGCAGCAGCAGTGGCAGCAGCGGCTGCAACATCGATTGCTGCTGGCGCCTGGCCACTTGTGGAGGCGCCAATTTACATTGACATCAATGGCGAATATCGGAGCTTTTGTCCGGCACATGGACCACCAGCCGTGGCTGCCCCTGTTGGCGCCAATGCGCAGCCACAGCAGTCCTTGTTGTCGCACCACCATCATCATCATCACCACCAGCACCAGCATCAGCACCAACATCATCTCCAACAGCAGCAACAGCAAGCACAGCAAGCGCAGCAACAGCAACAGCAACATCTTCAGCATTTGCAACATCAGTTGCCAACTGCCGCGGCCTGCAACTCGACTTCGTCGGTCCCTGTGAGTAATGTTAATGGAAATATCGGCCATGCCACCGCACCGCCACGCTTGCTTATGCAACTGGACACTGGTGTTACAGTGGCCCATCAGCAGCAGCAGCAGCAGCAGCCACAGCAGCATCAGCAGCCGCCGCCGCCGGCACAGCAGCAGCAGCAGCAACAACAACAAATTGTCGCCGCTGGCAAGCGCAGCAAAGTTTATCGAGGTGAGTGCCCGTTTTATGACATTTGTTGTAGTTGTAGTCGTCGTATAGTGGCTGTCCAACACACACACACACACACACACACTCACACACACTATATAGATACATATGTATACGCCAGTGTGTGGCCGTTGTCCGGTCACCCAAGGCTATTCGAGTCCTGTTATAATGCCATCCCTCTTAGCCGGTTGGGCACTCGTGTACTCGCATATTCGACCACACAAGTTAAGTCCTGGCACTGTCCATTTGGCGCATTAAGACACCACCAGCTTGGCCTGCCAGGGGTTAATCAGTTGACTAAAGCCTCTCATCGTTGCTAAAATTAAGTTTCTAGTCTCTCGCTCTCGACGTAGCCCCTCCAGTGTGTCTGTGGATCTGCTGGACTATGGGCTTAGCAGGATCACAAATGTGAAGAGCGCATTAGACGGTGCCAAGCCAAGTTAAACACAGCTCGAAATTAATCATTGCGCTTGTTAGTTAGAACATAATAATGTAGCTGTCGAGCATGGAGAAACGTACTGTTTGTACGGGAATTAATGGGAATTATGTTTGACGCGTTTACATAAAACTCAATACGAATTCTCTTTCAGAAGCTCTTAAATATTAACACTTAAAACGAAATTTAAAACAGCTACTGAAACCTGCAAAGTGCTTCTCTACGAGGTAACTAATTGAAGTCACTTTAAGCAACAATAGCTGATTAACAATATTTCTGATATATACAAGTAGTAGCTGATATAATAGTTTAAATAACAAAATTTTGGGACTTAAAATAACATAATGCTCCCATTTAGTTGACGTTTTATCTTTGAAAAAATTTACATGCACTTTTATCTAGATATATAAAGATACTTATGAACATTTTACATTTTTTACAACTATAACTTAATAAATTACTGATCTGATTCATTTTAAATAAAAATAATGCCAAAATAAATGCTAGACAAAGAAAAAAATAAGAAAAAATAATAAGAAATTGATGTATTGTATAAAAGATTTGATTGGATTTAAAGCATTTAGATCAAAATGTATAAGCTTTATTCATATATTGTCTCTAATATCAGTTCCACCATAATGTGAGGGTGGAGTATAACTTAATATTTCTATATAATTCAGATTCATTTGGTTATCCTAATTGGTGCCACAATAGCGTCTGAGGAGCTGCATTGGCATTGGCTGCGTACTTACTTTTCCATATTTTTTTAAAGTCAGTAGCCATTTCTTTAATAGGCTATTTTTAAATAGCCACATCAGCTCAGGTCGATTATATTGACCGTAAAATTATATCACGTATAGCTTTCCCAAATATCCACAAAGATTTATCATTCACTTTCTTCGATAGACGTTGAGTTTTTCAAGAGTTGATAAAAGAAATCTCCTGTCAGAAAGCAATCTTCACTAATTTCTGCAGATGAACGACACAAAACTATCTAGTGCTGGACACTATTCTACTCATTGCATATCTATATATTCTGATTCGCAAACTGGACCGTATCCAGCTGTGTGCGCATGCAGATGACGTAGATGGACACTGTGGCAGTCTAAAAACTGAACTTAAATCCAAATCTAGCAGTTCTTCTCCACACTGCTCTAGTATATTGCTTCACAGTTTTCTAATTTCTGTCTTTTTTTCTCAGCTAGCCACACGCTGTGGTCTTATGGAGTGCCCGTCATTCAGATTGTCACACAAACATATAGATATGCTTGTATGTGTACGGTCGGGAGTGCACGCATATCCATACCCATAAGCAACGGTGTCCATTTCCTTTTGTTGCGCCTGCTTTTCACACATTTTCACTTATATAGTCGAGTTTCCAATTTGTATACTCTTGACCAGACGGGTGTAACGGCTTTGTAACGGCCCAGATTTGTGAATAACCTCTTTGTTGTTAAAGCTATTGCCGCCAATTTCGTACTGCAGAAGTTTTCTAGAATTTCAATTTATAGCTGCCATAATAAAAACAATCAGGCTTAGGAAACTCCTTTGTCTGAAAAGCTTCTCCGCTTACAAAGTTATCGAAAACAAACTTGTTGATGGAACGTCTGTTGACATCCCGAAAAAGTTGCAGGGTTTGAATTATATTGGATTAATATATAGTTGGAAGTAGGAACGATTAGGTTTTAAATAAAATTCTTCGTCTGTAGAACTGTGTTGCTCATAAAACTATGGCAACCAAATGGCAAATGCTTCCAACTGGATCCATCTTCCATATCATACTATATATGTAAAAACAGAGAAGCAGATTTGTAAGGGCATATGGGCTTTGGTGCACCAAAATGCGTCAATTTGCTGTTTCTTTTTTGTCAGCCATTGGCAACAGGGCTTACTGCCAAAAAAAAAAAATGGTTTTGATCTCTGTTTGCCTCTTTGCTATATCTATATTTTTTTCCTACATTTTTTATTTGGCTTTTACTCTGTGCCTTCGTTGCATTGCCTGGCACTCTGTTTGGCGTCGCCATTTTCAATTTTTGCTTACGCCTCTGTGTGTGTGTGTGTGTGTGTGTGTGCGTGTGTTGTGAGTGTATTTGTATAAAGTGCGTTGTACGTTCCATGTGGCATGCAGCATTCGTCCATTCGTCTATGCGTCCGCCTGTCCATTTGTCTGACCGTCGACCGTCTGCCTTTCTATCGGTCCGTTCAGTCAGTTGTCGTCGCCATCGCCATTGCCATCGCCATCGCTTGATGGCCTCCACTGTTAATTTTCTCATTCCCCGACCGCTTGGCTTTTGGCTGCCATTCTGCCTTTCTGCCATTTTGGCAGTTATCCCCCCATCTTCGATATGCAGACCCTGACCCACCACCCTGTTGTCATAATTTTGACACTCACTGTGCGTTGAATGCGCGCATATTTTCAGTGCTTTTGCTTTTTGACTAAAATTCGTTCGGTTTTTCGGTTTGGTGTCCTTATTTGTTCATTTTTTTGCTGCCTGCCTTTGTTTGATTTGTATTTTCGCTCGTTGCACTTTTTAATGTCGTTTGTGCTCGCTTGGCCATTTTTGTTTATTTTTCGTGCTATAATTTATTGTGTAGTTTGCTTGCTCGCATTCATTTTTTCGGCATCCCATTGGTTTATGGCTTGTAAGTTGTTTATTATTAATGTTTGGCTTATGCTGGCTGGCTGGCTGGCTGGCTGGCTTGCTGGGCTCCGAATTGGGGCTCGCCATTGTCGCAGCCACTGCATTTTACAGCATGAGTTCATAATGAAGTCATAGTTATCTGCTTCGAAGCGGCCCATAGGCGGCCCAGCCTGCTCTGCTGGCTGTTTTTACCATATTTGTTGGCCATAAACTACGCGTATGCGTCATAATGCGACAATAAAGCCGGTCCTCAGCTCCCCAATCCCAGTGCCAATCGTTTCCACTGTTGTTCTTGAGCGGTTTCTTGTTCTGTTTTTTTTTTTGTTGCGCCGCACACACACACACACGCCCAAATAGATAGATGTGTGTAGTGCATTAGCGGCATTTATGCATTGCAATGCGTGGCATTAGTCATTGTGGATGTGGCTGTGAATGTGGATGTGGCTGTGGTCGTGGAGTGGCAATTGTTCAAGTGCTTGTTGGCTTCGGAAAATGTGGCAAAATTTGGTTAGCCAATGCTGGTTGTCGTTGCTGGTTGGTGGAATTGGGAAAGCAGTTTAGTTGCCCCAATAGTGCAAAATTATTTTACAACCGAAGAATTTGGGGCCGCATTCAAACATCGTTTCCAAAGCAGCTCCATTCCATTGATTTACAAAAATTTATGCTTTCAAAATTATGGTTGTTTCCGTAAAGAATATGCTTCTTCAAATGAAAACTTCTTCATTTTAAATATAAATTACGATTTCATTCATTTATCATAGTTTTAATTTAACAAACATTATAGGAAAGCACGCTGCACAATCCTGAATAAGCAATGATTCATAATTATTTGTAAAACTATAAATTAATGATAAATGATTTATTACTGCTGTAGCGGTAGACCTATTTTAAGCTATACATTTTTAAATGATTTGGTTAAATAGTGTTCAAATGTATTTATTTTTTAAAGCGCGATTTCCAGTACTATTTCCTCCAATATCAAAATGATTTGCTTTCTTTACATATGTCAAATAGTTTTACGTAATTTACAGAAAATGTTATTCCAATTTGCAGAAACATTCCAAAACTATTTGTAACTAGTTATCAAATGAAAATTGAGTTACTTAATGCATAGCAGACTTATTTTAAACAAACACTATTCTAATAAAGAGTATTCTGTTTTTAATTGGAATTGAATTGCACCTCTCGCACTATTTTAAAAAGGAACGTTTAATTAAATATTATAAGCAATTAATGTGAAAGCAATAAGTGCAAGTCCTCAACGTCTGATTAACGCTACCTGTCCCGTTCGATGTAAAATGTTATATTATTGAAGTTTCTTCACTGCTTGGCTCTTGGAAGCCATATATAAAGTAAGCTTTTTGGTTTCAATAATTCAATTGTTTTGGTTGAAAATTGTTTATTATTGTTTAAGTGGTTTAAGTCGTAAAGGCTTGTCTTTGCTGGCTTTATCAAAAAAAAGTAATGTTTACTTGCTGTTGGGGCAGAAAGAAACTTTCGTAGTTGTTGCATTTAATTTCCTCACATAGAAGTGCTCTGTTAAACAAAACATGAGATACTTTCGAAGACAAATTTATTCTTAGCAAGCCGTCAATTGACTTAAAGTTTTTACAAGGCCGCCATCTATCATCAACGACAACTTCTGTACACTTTCCCACACTTTTTCCTTTATGGCTCGAGTTTCTTGCAGCATAAGTGTCTATGTGTGTACGAGTATGTGTGTCTGTGTGTGTCTGTGTGTTTTGCATAAGCTGCTCTTGATAATCAACACATTGCGCACCAAACTGCAATGGCAAGAGCTAAAAACTTTTTAATGAAATACTACAACTTCGCACACATACACACACACTCGTCTATGTATTTATAGAGAGAGTATAAATAATGAAGCAGTGCTGCGACGACACACACATACACACACATGCACACACATGTTGACGCCATTTGCCAAACTTTCAATACTTGTGGCAATCAGGGGAAACTTGGCGTTACAATAGTCAGAGTCGAACTTAATTAGAGCGCTTAAAGCGCCGTGACTTCTTCTGTCAGACACCAGACAGCAATGGGCCCAACTTGACGGCTATAGACAACGACAACGACAACGACAAGGACAAGGCAAGACAGATAAACACACATAATCGTACATACACTGAACGAAAACAAAGTGTTAAAACTAAATGGAATTGGAATTTAACACAGAATTACTGTAATAAAATGGTTTCCTTCCGTGTTCATTTCAATTTCGACATTGTCCCTAATATTATGAGATAACATTTGAATTTTTACAAACATTTCAATTGAAATCTATTTGCACATATTTAGTTAGACTAAGGACTAACAAAGCAACCCTAGATCTATCAATTCGTTTGTTCTTTTGTGAATGCAAAATTAGCTAATAGGGTCTGTTGAGTGTGAATAAACAATGAGCTCATAAGGAATATAGATATTCCCTATACAAGTATATACAAAGAAAGCATACTTACTTATATGTGCTACAATATTATAATAAAAGGTACGATTGTTGGCTGACAATACAGACAGTATAGAAAGTTTTCATGAGCAAACAATTATTTTAAATTACTAAAAAAAAGTGCTGTTTTGTCTCAGTGTACCCGTGTATGTGTGTGTGTAGAAACACGCAGAAGTTAGAAGCATGCAACACTTGTAGTGGTCGAGAATTGTCGACCGTAAACCAAAAACCAAACATGACAAACAAGTGGGCCAACAAACTTGGCTCAGAGATAGACTACGAGTGGCAAGCAGACGTCAAGTGGTCAGCAGTGTTGGTTAGGGCAGCAGCATCTCCGCCAGCAGCCAGTGTTGTGTGACGACGGCACGAAATATATAAATGGGTTGACGACTGTTTAACGGCATGCTTAAAAGCTTTTTGGGCAATAAACCTTTTGTAGCTCGCGTTCATTTCTTTAAAATAAAATACAAGTATACAAGTATAAAACGCACTTTCTTGGAATTGTTTCAAGCCATTAAAATGCAAAGAGC